AGTTCATTCAAACTGCAGACATATGATAGCGGGAAAAAAAGAAGAAAAAAGTTACATCTCAATAATCTCGGTCTCACTGAAACCTTATTGATATGTGAATATGAAAAGTTGAGGGCCGCACGTGGAGCAGAGCAAATTTGTGAGTCCTCGACAGGTCTGTCCCACATCCGATTCCTGGCCTCAGGCCGTTTACTGACTCATTTTTCAAAAACAAACAGTTACAGGAGTTTGCATATTGCATCCCTGGTATTCCTTCTCTGACTTACCATAAGGTGACAATAAAGTGGTATCTTTTTAGGATTATGCTGTACGTTTTAAACGGGAATGAATAATTAATTGCTGTCTAGCTAATACGGACATGCTAATTATTTTCTGTCTTATTGCCCTCTCCCTTTTTCAGCCCCTTACACTTCTGACTGTGTACGGAGTTAGATTATGTGCCAGTGAATTCGCCTGAATTGTATTGGAGCTGCGGATTAAGCTGGAACGTGTGTAACTGAATTTAAATCCATCTACCTGTAGTTGAATTGTGTTGGCTTAATCTGATAATGTATTAATAGATATGACGTGGACTTCTTATAAAGTGCCGTGAATTGGGTTTGGAGCTATATAAATAAACTGCATTTAAGGGAAAGAGCCGGAGCTCACCCTAAAAGGAAAAGAAAACATTACCACGGTATCACACCAACTATTCATCACCAAGTAGGGTTCAGCATATCAGTAACAAAACATTATGCCTGAGTAGTACTTGGTAGTGTCCACCTGTATCTTGATATTTCTCTTTTTAGTTGTCAGACGCTTACTAGAAATCCAAGAATAATATTGAATTTAAATAAATATAGCTATTTAAAGATCCAGAAAAAATAAAATTATATATATATATATATATATATATATATATATATAATTTAATTTAAATAAATATAGCTATTTAAAGATCCAGAAAAAAAATAATATATATATATATATATATATATATATATATTTTTTTTTTTTTTTTTTTTTTTTTTTTTTTTTTTTTTTTTTAAAAAATTTTTTTTTTTTATATTT